GGCAAATAAATACGGAGTAACACCAAAAGACCTTTTATGCTCTCAACCCACTATCCATTACTATCCCAATTAATATCTTACTTTACTACTCCATCTATCTTAATCTACTACCCCATTTACCGACCTAACCTACTTACTGTACTCTTTTCATACATTATTCACCTTTTCACACTATTCACCTTTTTACATTTCTCTTTAATTAACTACCCTAACAAGGGAAAAATTGGAAATTCAAACTACATTTCATCTTACATTAAATCTCATGTCAAGTCAAAATAGGAGGAAACATATGGGATGGAGGGGGTAAGTAATACTTCCTTGAAAAGCTGTTGTAACCTGGTTACTTTTTTTTTATACTACCTCCATCCCGCTATTTTTGGGACATGGAGTTGTGGCACGTAATCTATGATAAGTATAAATATGAGGTTGATGTTTATGTTAAAAGTAAGACTGCATGTGAGAGACACTTATACTACTAAATATGGTATGAGATTAAATAGTGGGGCGAATGAGGTGATTATCAAGACATAAAAATGATTAGACCTACAAATGGTAAATATGGTATGAGAACCCAATCAACCCATATGTCCTACACACATTGAAATGGACCTAAAACCCCATAAGTGGAGATATTCCTCATTCTGAATGAGGAAGTGTTACTGGTGTAGGAACTAGGAACATTTGGTTTCAGATTAAGTGGCTTGGGCTGCATTGGCTGACATTGGAGGTCTGCCATGCTGTTTCCAGCATTGACCTTACGTATGTCTTGTTGTTTTACTATGCTTGCACCATGGCCGATTATCCTCATGGTGACAGTTTCCACCGGAAATGATTGTATGGCAGCAGCCCATGAAATGGATCTTAGCAGCCAAAATTTTAGAAATGGTTGCTGGGGTGTGTTTGTGGCGTGAGATGATCGATCAACAGAACTGGAGACTTGGAGCTCTAAGAAGCTCCGCCTGAGCTGATTACCTTTTTAGCTCTTGGGAGAAATCGTGAGGAAGTGTATGGAAGTATGGAACAAAAAATCAGTTGAATGGAGTAATTGGAGATTCGGAGGGCAGTAGTGACTTGGCTATTGGCAGCATGTCGAGTAGCTGGACCTTCAGTATGGAGTTCTAAGGCTCTTGGAGGTGCTGTTTTGCTTGGACTCACGCCATAATGGGTCCTACTAGTAAAAAGATGGCGTGACACATATTTCACCCAATTAAGTTGAAAAAGTTGTTCGCCTGCAATGAAACATAGGAAAGAGGCTCTGGCACCATGAAAGGGAGAATTTTTGTAATAGGAGTGAAGAGCTTACATCTTAATGACGATATTTGTATAAAACAGCACTATTTGATAACCCTTCAACGGTTAGTTTTTTGCGAATGTTATCTAACAACGTCTGATCACAATTCTTTGATAACAAATTCATATCTCATTTAGAATCACACCCTTTTATTCTTTAGCTTGGCATTATCATTCATTATATTTGGGTAAAAACTGATTTGATGTTTCCCATGTTCAGGATACAAAAATACTTGAGGTGTAAAGGTGGGTGCATGGCAAGTATTGGAGCTGACCAACCTGCTGAAGTAGTTGATGATTCTCCTAGAGATATGGTATAGTACTCTCCGGTCTTCATGTGTGTTATCTATTCTGCAGTTTTTGTATGTGTTATGCTTCCAATTATATCATGATAGTACAAAGTGCAGTCCCATGTTTACACGTTTGTTGGAAGACTGCTTTAGTTTTTACATGCTGGGTAAAAGGTACCCTCAAACAAACAAGACCAAAAAGCTCCATACACGAATGCTTTGATGGGGTCAATGCCTTGATCAGATATTTGTCCATAGATTCCCCAAAACAGTACCGTGTCATTTTCTCTGTGTTCCTTTTTTACTGAGTACTGTGGTCTGACTATTTACTGTCTAACTTTTACTACTATGGTGCGGTTCTTTGTTCACTAGTGTTGGGTACCAAATTATGACACTGCCATTTGGGAGACATACAGTGCTCTGTTTGGCTAGGGACCAGGGGATTGGTATAGGGGTGCAGGCGTGCAGCTGTGTAGGGTGGCTAGTTGACGTTGAAAGGGAACAGTGGAGGGGGGGAGATCGGCTCTGTTAGGGAGGGGATATGACCCGGTTTGGGACTCAACAAAGCACGGCAAGGCTCCCAAACGGATCCGGTGTCAAATGAACAACACCGCTTTTACTAAGGGGATGTTTGTACCAAGTAAAGGTCTAGACAAAAATGCAAAATAGGAAAAGGCCAGTCAAAAAATTGCCAAGTTTTTTTCATTTCACCTCTGGAAATGCAGCATAAAATAAAAAGTGATTTATCCTTTAAAAAGTTTTGCAGATATCAAAGTAAGTTTATTGAGTTTGAACCAACGTGCTATTTAAAGAATAACCAACGTGCTACTTTTCTCCATATTTCATTCCCTTCCAAAATCCCATAGTAATTTCCTCTCGATTATCTTGCCCTATCTTTCTCGGAGCTCCAAACGACTCTACGCTATCTCATACTCCCTCCATTCCATATAAATTGTCTAATAAGATATTCATGGTACATTGAAAAATGAATGAACGTAGACATAACGTATGTCTGTATTCATTCATTTTTGAATGTATCAAAAATGTGTTATTAGACATTTAATATGGAATGGAGAGACTATATTTTAAAACACCGTTTACCCTTATAACATCTATGGAGCCCTTTTGTTTTGCAGAATCCAGGGGCATGCCTCTATACCACATCACAGTCTCTGCTTTCTTGCAGTGGATCACATAAGCATACAAGGAGGCTTTGCCCATGCTCATAAATATATTTTGACAGATAGTCTTTGCTTTAGCTTTGATGGTATTGCATGCCAATAATAACCCTATCACGCAAAGATTAAGAAAAGTATGCGGCACTAACTTGGCTTCTTATACAAGTTTGAGTAAGTTTCTCTATAAGAATATGCATGTCCTGTTCTCTTTATTGGTGTGCAAAGGATTGTAGTAATTGTTAGTGGTTTTAAGGTTTAGGGTTACCCAAACAAGTTTCCAACATGATTTCACGGTACAAGAGTGCCCCCGCGGATAATAGATGATTTATACATATACAAGCGATAATCGCTTGTGAAGGACAAATGATTATCGTCTGTGTATGTATGTATAAATTATACACCTGTGGTGGGTTCTAGCATGATCCTTTCAAGGTATTTTGGACAAGATGATTTTGTGTTGGCTTTATTGAAAAGATACTGTGCTATAGTTACACCAAAGTTTGACACTGTTTCACAATCATTTATAGATAATCATCATTTGTCCGGTAAAATATATGATGTCAAACTATAATGTTCAAATAGATTTACCCTTCTTGAATTATCTTTTTACTATAAGATAGTGGGCCATAAGTGGGAAAACAGTTTATAAGTACGTAAGTTGCACTGCATAATTTTAATTTTTATTTCAATTTGTAAAATATATAGAACTTTTCATGTTAAAAAAGGACAATATATTTGGGACGATGGGACTATCACTATTACATTTTTTTAACCTTCGCAAAGATAAAATGAACTTTTTTTAACAAAAAGAGTACAACTATTATTATTATTATTATTATTATTATTATTATTAAAATTATTACTGAGTATAATTATTAGTAAATTTTTTAAGTAATAACAATAGTAAGTACTCCATATTATTTAATCATATACAGAGTATAACATTATAATTATTATTATTATTTAATTGTATTATCTCTGTCTCAATTTAATTATATGCCACATTATAATTATTCAACGTTATATAATTGTATAATAATTACGGAGTATTATTTAATCAGAAATTTTTTTATTGATAATCTTCTATTACCTATTTTAGTTTTTCATAAAATGAAACTACCTAATTTTTTATTTTTTTGATAATTCAGTACAAATTTTTCTCAAAATAGTACTACGGGGTAATTCAAAAGTTGTGAAAATGGCACAAAAGTTTTTTAAACGAAACTAATAAATTTTATAACTAACTACAATTTTTTTGTATTGTAATTTCTTTTTTGATCGATACTCTGAATTATTTTTGATAATTCAATATTATATTTCCTAAACAAAAAACAGAATTTGTAAATCGTTAGACAAATCTTTAACAAGAGTGTACTGTTATATTTTTAAAAATATAAATTTTAAGTTTAAATAAAAAAAGTAAAAATTAAATTTGCTTAAAATAATCTCACCTTTCATATATTTGCAAAAAATTGGTATTTTCTAAAAATTTTGTTAAGTGGCCGTTAGTTTTTTTTTACGGTGACCCAAAACTCGCACACATACGGAAATGTGGGATTTTTTCCGCTAACAGTGAAAAGTAAGATTATTTTTGAAAGAACGCAAAAAGGTGAGATAATTTTTCCAAAATAAATGAAAATTTTAATGAAAATAAATGAAAATTTAAATGGAGGTAGGGAGTAATTCTAAAAATTTAAATGAAAATTTCAAAAAAATATTAAAAAAATGAACATTCATAAAAAAATAATCCCAACTTTTATTTTGTTGCGCAAAACATGTCGTTTTCGTTAACCCGATGTTAGCAATTTAACGGCGACTCAAAACTCACAAATTTCAGTAAAGTTATTACTATTATTATCATAGTGAAGAATATGATTATTTTTGAAATACCAGATAAATTTGAGATTATTTTGGATAATTTTTCGTAAATTCGATTGAGTTCGATCATATTTCAACAAATCTAATCTGCTATAATAATAAAAAAATAAGTTGAAAGCAGTCTTAAAGCTTATATTCTTCAACTTATTCTTTCTACCTACGGTGTTATATATTCTTATTAAAATATGATCAGATCAGAAATAATTTTAAAAATAAATACGATCAAATTAGAATTTAATTAATTGAGATTAAGCTTTAAGAGAAAAGTCATTAGTTTAATTTTTGGCTCAAATATCCATCCACGGGCAAAGCAAAACTCAAGAGAATTTCCAAAGCACGCTAGGACCCATGGCAACTGGTAAGTCGGGAACTTCCTCTCGACCGCCGTCAATGGGGTCTACCACTCCCCGGCGCTTTAGACACAGAGCGATTCTGATTTCTGAAATGGCAACACAGCGTCCAGTCCGCACTTGATCTTGGAATATGGCCACAAAGCTCCTTCCTCAACTCTGCATATCTCCTTCACCTCCAGATCATCCTCACACCACCAAACCGTTCCTTTCCCCTTTCAGGAATCGCATCCGAACCTCAAATCACATCGTCAAAGTGAATGCCGATTTCCGGTCCAAGACTTCGAGTTTCTTCGTCTCTGGTTCTCTGGCTCTCGCCATGTCTCTCTCAGGTAACAGCTGATCTTCAATCCTCCTTCGTATTACTCTTGAAAATCATAAGCATATCCGTTTCCTTGATTGTGTGCTCCGTATTCATTAATTTCTCTTAATGCTTTCTGTTTTGATTTACTGATAATTTCACATTTTAGGAATTTGTGTTTTGATAATTTTTTACATGGATTTGGTTGATGTTAGTAAACGAGGTGAAATTTGTTGGAGTTGCATTTGGCCAGGAAAGGGTAGGGGTTAACAAGCCGGAATTGCTTCTTTGATTGTGTGCTCCTTATTCATTAATTTATTTTAATGCTTTCTGTTTTGTTTTAAGGTGAAATTCATATCATTATTCTGAGAATTGCGTGATTTTATATGAATACTCTTAGATTTAGTAAATGACACCGATGCTCCCAAAATTTCAGTATGTTTACATCAGTGCTATAAATTCCCAACATTCGGAGTACAGATATAAACATATGTAAGTTCATAGAGCAGCGATGTAAACAAATGAAAATTTTGGGAGTATCGTTGTCGTTTATTAAATCTCGAAGTGTTTATGTAAAATTACACGATTTTGGGAGTAATGATGTAAATTTTTCTTTGGTTTAATGATAATTTCATATTTTAGGGAGTCGTATTCTGATAATTTTTTCTTTACATGGATTTTGTTGATGTTAGTAAACAACGTGAAATTTGTAGGAGTTGCATTTGGCGAGGAAAGGGTTGGGGTTAACAAGCCGGAATTGCTTCCTGATGAGTTCACAACTGTTATTGATGTTGCTGGGTTTCTCTCTGATGGCCAGGTTTGTTCTACCGCCCTAACCAATTGGTAATTCCTGTGGTGTATTCTTGTCAATTTTTGGTTAAACTCTAACATCTTACTTCCCAAACTCATATATAATTCATATCATTAATGTATTTCGGAAGACTGAAGTTCTTTACGGTTTTATACTTAATAGTTTTTATTTAGTAAAAAGAGTTTTAAACAACACTCATTGCCTATTTGCCTCCATGGAAGCATTAGTGATGAAGCTACAAGAGTCATTATTCACATACTTTTAGCTTTGGGTACTATATCAATATGGTACACTAAACTTCATTTCTTATTTCTATGAAGTTTTGGGTAGTAAATGCTTCATACTGCCTTTCGTTAAAGAAATTTCATTCGAAGTACAAAGAGAAATTGTAAGTCTAAAAAGGGTTTCTGATTTTCCTGCAGGAGAAAAGACTTGCGCGGGAGATATCAGATATAGAAAGAGATACTGGGTTCAAGTTGAGAATTTTGGCTCAAAATTACCCCGATACGCCAGGTGCGTTCTTTGGCGTCTTAGTGTTTGAAATTCGCTCAAATCTTTAGCAAAAAAACTGAAATTGTCTTGCCAATATCCACAGGATTAGCAATCAAGAATTTCTGGGGAGTGGATGACAGGACTATTGTTTTTGTTGCTGATCCTACTTTTGGTGAGCCAATAAAAAAAATCACTTCCTATTTACATGGATCTACTTGATCATGCAATTAAACATGCTATATTTCAGCTTAAATTTCTGTGTTCTACTTGAGCAGGTAATATACTGAACTTCAATGTTGGAGCTTCAGTGGATCTAGACATACCACGTAGCTTTTGGAGCCGTTTGGCTGGGAAATATGGAAACATTTTTTACTGTAGAGAAAAGGTGAAACTATATTTCCAATCTCATGTTTTTTTCCCTGTTTCCGTATAGAATCGCCACCTCTTCTTACCTGTTGGGTTAATGTTGAACAGGGTGAAGATGCTTCTATTGAATCTGCTGTTATGGCAATATCATCTTGCTTGAGAGAGCCGGTTGGGGCAAATAACTGTTCAGAAGTGAAGTAATTCATCGTTTTGCATCCATTATATGGTATGTGGGGTTAAGGTTATATTGGGTCTAACGGAGACATCTCCGGGATAGGGATTGTATTGGGTTTGTCATTGTTGCTGCTATATTATATGTGGTAAATGTTGTGATGGGAAAACAGCCACAAACGGTAAACAACAATTGTGGAATCAATCTTCGTTTGGCTAAACTTTCCCTTCTTGAATGAACCTTTGAGGATGCGAACAAATGGGATTTTTTAAATGCAATCAAAACAGCCCCAAGACAGTATGCAAGTAATTATAAAGCTACCCCGATATTTTAGCGTAGAAAACCCTCAAAACGAGAGTATGAAAACCACGGGACTACTAGAGCCGCTTCAAATCCACTACCACCAATATTAGAGCAATACAAAGTCTTCTCTAGGTATACTAGAGTCATACAATAATCATCATATAACATGCTACTTCCAAGTATATGGAATGAAACACAAAGTCAAATGCAGAGAATCACCAATGGCAAAATTATTTTAGCGAAACAGGGCTGTGAAACTCGACCTCCGGAACTGATTAACCAAATCCGGCATTTGAATCTCCGGGTAATCAACAAACTCTGCAGCTAGGTCTCCAAAAACGGGATTTCACTCTTTTTTTTTCTCTGTTTTTTTGTGTAGTAACTGAAGTCAAGGCATTGCGTGAAAGATAAGGTTGTGAAACAAACATATCTAGTGATACCTCACATCGATATGCTTTGTTCTTTTATGAAACAAAGAACTCTTTGCAAGGTGAATAGCGTTTTGATGATCACAAAGAACCATGTAGCTTTGTTGCATAAAGCCAAGCTCTAGCAAAAATCTTTTCCACCACAATAGTTATTTTCAATCACAATGCTTATGGGTGTCTTGCAAATTGGGTTCATGATTTACCTTTTTCGACTGCCTCGTGGGGAGAGCGTCGCCTTTGGTAATCATGAAGACGGCTTGCGGGTGTATTGCAAAAAGGGGTTTTGGGTGTCTCGCGGAGAGGACTTTGGGGTGCTTCACAAAGAGGGCTTTTAGACACATCAAGAAAAGGGGTGGCTAACTTCCTTGCGCTTATTATTATTATTATTGCTGTTGTTGTTGTTGTTATCATTATTATTATCATTATTATTATTATTATTATTATTATTATCATCATCATTATTTAATGATATGGCTTCTTTTATTGATCACTTCTTCATGCAAAAATGTTATCCATTGTCTTCCTTGAAAAGAGGATACATTGTCTCGGATGTCTCCGGGCGGAGGTTGTATGAGCTCTAGTCGTTTGCGCCCTTGTGGATGACTTTGATAGGATTAATTTAGATAATTTTAAATTATGATGAAAAATAAACACAGAACATTACATAAACTTGGGTTAAATAAGTTTTTGGTCCTTGCAAAATTATTATTTTTTTCAAATAGTCCTCCAATTTATTGGGATATTGGAAGTATTAATTTATAAAATTGTTAATGAATTTATGATATTGTAGTTATTCAATTAAACTCCTAAAAATATTGCATTGAATTTAACCTTGCAAGTATATTCTGAATAAATTAATTGTTTTACAGAGTTTTTAATATTTTTAAAATATGAACCCATTTCTTAGGAAGCATTTGTAGTATGTATTTAGAGGTTCTGTATAAAATGTTGATGTCTTGACGCAAATATATTTAACCTCATGCAAAATAGGAAACCTGTGATGATTGAGATCACATGCATGCTTGTATATGAGGACCATCGATCAAAAACATATAGACGGGTTCCAATGACATTGGAACCCCATGTCATGGGATGACCCGGGGGAGATTCGATGTTCCGTTCGTAAAATTGAAGGTTCCTACACCCTAATCCCCCGGTAAACCCTCCTCCCCGCCCCGATCCGAACACACTCCCTATCCCTTCAATTGCACCCCACAAATTGATTTTGAATAACTCATAGTACTCATTTGAGAGTGGCTCCCATTTGATTTTGACCAATCCTCGATCGATCAAAATCTGAATCGAATAGCGCCTACCCTCAAAAAGATCTGGGCCATAAAGACACCCTATTATAGGATGAGAAAACTCTAGTGGGCTTTGGATGTAGTATTTCTTCGGTCGAACTCCAAGCCCATGGATTTCCAAAACGCCCTTCCAGAATCTTCTTTCCGTTCCGCTAGAAATCAGCATCTCTGCATTGACGGAATCTTCTCGATCTAAGAATCTCTCGGAACCGAACGCGGGGATTTCTATATACATCGGCGAAATCAAGCGTTTCTTCTTTATTTCGTCAATCGTCGATTCTTCTAGTTCTTCAAGAAATCGCGAAAATGGCTACTGAGAAGGTGATCTTGGATTAATTCTCCGTATATTTGTTCTTCGGTGGCAGATTTGAATTTTAGTTTTTGTTGATATGTATTTTGGATCGTCTGGTACAGATTGAGATGGAGAAGCGTGAGGGGAAATTGAAGCATCTAGGGTTCGTGAAGGTTTTTACCTTCAAGGCTGTCTGTTTGGTGTCGAATCTTTACGAGTACGCGAAGCAGAACTCGGGACCGCTGAAATCGACCGTCGGTACGGTGGAAAACGCCGTGACGACGGTTGTGAGGCCTGTCTGCGAGAAATTCAAGGACGTTCCCGATGATGTCCTCGTTTTTTTCGACAAGAAGGTACTCCGTATTTTTTTAATTGATTTGATTCATTCGTTATTTGTTTGTTCGTTTATTCTTTTTTTGTTGAATATAGGATTGTGTGAGATCGTACAGATCTGTCATTCAACCTTTGCTGAATTGAATTTCGTCTTTTCTGTGATTAATGGCGATTCATTTGTTCTTATTAGCTGAAAACAGAGAATTTGTTTTGTCCTTTTACGAGTAATCTGTAAGAAGAACATTCAAATATACCAGATTGTTTCCACCTGAATTCAGATGTCACAATAGGACTTCCAAGGAATGACCAAGAAACGCATCTATATTCTTGTCCAACCCTTTTTGTCTAAAAAAAAAGTAGGTTCTTGAAGCTAGTAGCAGTCACGTCTTTGGTCTTTGAGATCCTCATCACATCACAAGCTTTATGCCAAGACTATTCTTTCTGAGAATCAGGCTCTACACAAATCTGTTGAGGCCTGTTGTTTAGGCAAAGTCCCACAACAATGGCATTGATTTCTGCAGCTATGATTGAAATGCCCCATAGAAGTTCAATGCCTTGCAATATACACCGTACTAATCTACACATTTAATCAAATCTCCTCCAACTGCTAAACCATACTTCTTAATGCCCTATCAATGTTATATTTGATCCAAAGGGGGTGCTTCCTCCATTCCTTTAAATATTTTGTAAGGATTGCACACTCCCTTTTCCCATATGGCAATATCAGAGGTATCTCATCAACAGTCAAATTCTTATGTTTGAGCTTATTCCTAGTGTCCCAGAGATACCAAAGTACAAGCAGTCTAGCACATTACCAACAGCTTGGGAGACATTTTATTTCTATTAACCTATATTCCATTTTAGTAATGGAATGCCCATTTGCGCCATGACACCAAATTTGCATGTATGTGTTGTCAGTAATGGGTATCGTAGTTATGTTCTGATCAACTTCCAGAATGTTTGGACTTGATGGTGCTTTATCTCAAGTAGAAGTGGTAGTTGAATCTCAAATGACCTTATGTTTTATAAGTTGAACTTTGCAAGTTCTTATTAATTCATACTTCTTCCCTCCAATGCTAGGATTTTGTTCCAAAAGCTCTCCCAAATAAAAAAGTAACCCATCAAATATAGCTATAATTTTTCTCTTATCTGCCATGTAGTTCATGGGGATGTTTTTTTTTAAACACAATTTATAATTTTAAAATGTAAGTACCATGACCATTATTGACTTTAACATTTTTTCATGATCAAAAGAAAAAAGGTTGTGCTTTAGTCCAATATGACTTTTTTTTTGGGTTGGCAGAAACAAGGACAGGGGTAGTATTTAGTTATACCTTGCAAAGGTCATCTTTCTGGCTCCAGTTGAGGCCAAACTAGTTTGCCTTTCCTTTGTGTCTGTATTCTGCATGGTATAAATAATTAGATCCTCCTTGCCAAAAATGGATTCATCCCCCATTATAAAATGTTAATTCAAATTTATAAATTCACACGGTGTAATATGTTTTTTATGAACTTTCTTTTTTACTTGGCTCATGGTCTCTTGTTATCAGGTGGATGAAGTGACGGAGATGTTTGATGAACGTGCACCGTCCATGGCCAAAAAGCTCTTTACCCAAGCACAAATCGTCGTCGGAAAGGCATCTCAAGTGGCTCAAGATCTGATCCAAGAAGCCCAAGTGTCGGGCCCACGAGCAGCCATCACCCATGTCGGCACACTGTCAAAACAGTTTGGAGTGAGTCAGCTGGCAGTGATATGGTACCACATAAATCTTTCCCCAGCCTTGCACGGTGTGGCAGAGGTTGCTGCTCCAACCGCTGCCCACTGGTCCGAGAAGTACAACAAGTTGGTGAAGGACATGAAAGCAAAGGGCTATGAGATATTCAGCTATGTTCCGTTGGTACCCGTGGAAGACATCTCCAAGGCGTACAAGCAGGTGGAGGCTGCCGCTGCGAAGAAGGACGATGTTGCCCTTCCGGAATCTTCAACAGAATAGGGGATGTTGTTTCCCAGGTTAAAATCTTGTCGACATAAAAGGGAATATATGGTCTTTATATTTGAATGACTGTGGGTGTTGTGAAACTATATAGGGGAGGTGTTGTGTAAAATGACTTTGCCATTCTCGGTTGCATATCTGATGTTAACGTGTTTTTCTGATTTATTTCTCCCTATCAAAAAAAAGGATGGGCCTTATTCTTGAGGGCCCTGGGCCCTCTCAGACCTGGCCTGCACTAAAAGGAGATTAATTAGATTTTAATTGTAGATTGGTCAAAGGAGAGGGTATTTCTCCCTTTCCTCTTTGTAAAAGGGCGCACTCAAAACTCTAGTTTGACTTCACATCTATTAAGGCAAAATCGATAATGGGTTTAAGGCAAAATTGATTGAAACAAATACAAATGGTAGTAGAAAGGAAAAGGAATTAAAAGTGATTGAAATAACACTGTAAGAATTGATCTTAAAAATGAAAATCTTCAGTGAAAAAGTATCACGGGTCATCCAGAACAAAAAAGTTGCATGGTGTTTTAAACATAAAAGTTAGACGGCATATGTGATTACTTGTGGTGTTTGAGTTGGAAAGTCTCTTTAGTTTGGAATTGATGTACACTTCTATGAAATTTAATTGAGTTGTTCTTGTAAACTTGGCAAATATTATTGTTACTCCCTCCATCCTAAAATGATCTTCTTAGTCGTTATTTACACGGTCAACCTTTAATTACTTTTTTTACTTATTTTTGTTAGTTATTTGATGAAATAATATACTTATGTCACCTCTTATTTTGTAAAACTTTTGATTTAGTTTTAAAATATATTTATTTTTTAATTTTACACCTAAAATCAAATAAATTGAATTAAAAATAATTTTAGTCAAACATCGTAAATCGAAGTGGGAAGATCAATATCAAACTACGAAATTGGAATTGAGGGCATCAATTCCAATCTTGGTGTTTGGTAGCACAAAAATTACGTGGATTTGGAATTGATTGTGCAAAAAATGAATTGGAATTGGCAGAATTCAATTTTATGGAATTGAATCCCATGGAATTTCAATTCCAATTCATTTCTAATTCCGTCAATTCTGTATACCAAACGGACCCTAAGTGTTTTCTCTTCAAGTGAATCCTAACACTATGTTTGGTTCCAAAAATTTGAAAGGGAAAAGAAAAGGAGATGTAAAAAAACGAAAATGAGGAGAAAGAATAAACTAAGGAGAGAACAAGATTTATCACATTTTGGTAAGAAAAAGGAGAGAATAGTTTTGGTCCTTCACTATATTTGTTAAGTCATGTGAGTTCCCAAAATCCCAAGCCTCGTTTATTTTAGTACTCCGTAGTTTTTTACACAAGGTATCTACCGAAACCCATTGATTCCCTTTCTATTTTCATCAGAGACACCCACGAAAATCCTAAGCATTTCCACGTTTCTTGCAATATATTTGGTTCAAGGAATTTAAAAGAGAAAAAAAAGAAAAGAAATTGAGAAAGAAAACATCTTACTTTGTTTGGTTAGAGAAGAAAATAAAGAAAAGTAGAAAAAAATGAGAGAAATCCACTTTTTTTTCCTTTCGAATTCCACAAACCAAACACAATGTTAGAGATTTCAAAACATTGCATACAGAACATAGGTATTGCTTGAACCATTCCTTTGATCACCATGGGTTTCCACATCCTTTGGTGATCTACCCATCGGTTCGAGCAATATCTCCAATTTATTATCGTACATCAATTCTTACAACATTTATACCTTTCACCCGATGACGTGGGCCCTACGCGTTCACCCTTCACATCACAGTCATTCTGGACGGAATGTGGATCCCGGCCCTCCTGAGAAGTTCTGAGGAGGCATGCTTAGCCGCGGCCATAACTCCTGGCTGCACATAGAAAGACATTTGAGCATTCATGAGCTGGAGAGAAAAAAGATACTCCAAACAAGATGGGAAAAAGAGTGAAGGAGAAGTCAAAAGTACTTCATCCACAGTCAAGATCTTTCGATCCTTCATGATCCAATGCCCATTACACATGAGGGACACAATGTTCTCAGTCCTCATGCTATATACCAGACTGGAAATGCTGCACAAACAGGGGAGAGATCCAATATCAGACAATGCATTTGAATGTGTGTGTGATATAGAATACAATTGAGTGAGATAGTGGATGGTTTGGAGAAGATAGATAAATATTGGGAACTTTATTTATTTTAGATTTTTCTGTTTGTTATGATTGAATAAATAATTGTATTGATTTAATTTTAGGTAGTTATTAACTTATTATTCCCATTATCTGAATTGTGGACTAATGGGGTAGTTTTAGGAGTATTTTTAGGGAGTCAATCTCAATGATCTAAAGAAATTATCTCTGTTTTATTGCTGTATTTGTTTCTAAATGTGTTTCAGTCTTATAAACAGGCTGGCCATATGAGAAGTAAAAGATGCCTTAACAAATAAATGATGTACGGAGTACATTGTTTTTATCGAATTGAAGCTTATCCACTTGTGGATTGAGATAAGTAGAGAATGAACTTGTTTTTCACTTAATTTAGAATCTTCCTTGGGTTTATTAGTTGGATGAGTTCAAGATACTTTGCTTATCCCCTAACAAAGAAGTATCTTCATATTTATTTTTTTGTGAAATTAGCTTCTGAATTCATGAATTAATAACAATTTATCTTTTTATTTTCCCCTCCTATTTTGGTTTCAATCAGTGCGTGTGTGTGTGTGTGAGAGAGAGAGAGAGACTTACCAGTCATGAATAGGCATCATAGACCAAGAAGAACCGTTGATGACAATCATATCAGCCTATCAAGTAGTGACAAATATTGGCTCAAAGTGTCAAAATCTGAAGTAATCCTTTGAACCTTCATACTTAGAACAGACTCTTTACTCTAACATATACTCCCTACGACAAATTGAATTGTCCACTTTCTTGTTTTCATTTGTTAGGAATTAGTTGTCCACTTTTCATATTCAATAAAGAAATAATGATGAATTGTCTAAAATATCCTACGGATATGGTATGAGCATTGTAGACATGAATAAACAACAAAATCCATTGAAGGACTTAATTTTAATCTCATTTTTTTAAAAATGAGATATTTTTGGAAAGTGGACAACCGAAATCCAGACAGAGAGAGTACACATACTAGCATGCATGTTTTTTTGGATGAAAAAAAATAATAGTATTGGTAATCTTAATCAATTTATTAACACATGACTGTATGTTTGATCTGAACCTGACAAGTGTGTGTGATCATACAACTGACCTTTTTCCCCACTTCGAGTGAGCCTATTTCCTTGTCCCATAGTACTGACTTGGCACCATTAATCGTTGCCATCCTTAGTATTGTTTCGGCAGGCAAAGCTGTTGGGTCAGTGGTTCCCTTGGTAAAAACCTCCCTACCTTTGTTGATTAAAGAAGCTAGGTACATTTCATCAACTGTTTCTCACGTTCCAACCACAAGATGAAAGAGTTTTAATAAAAACAGCACGAAACCAAATGAGCTTCAATGTGGCTAAAAATTAAATAGTACACAGTATATAATTACCAATGCTCATTCTATTGTTTGATGGTGCACCATCTGTTCCCAAAGATACACAAATCCCAGCATTGAGCATTTCCTTTATGGGTGCAAATCCAAGCATTCGCATTGCAGCTGCTGGACAATGTGAAACTTTAACCCCAGCATCAGAAAGAAAGTCAACCTGAGAGAATAAAAGCAAAAATAGCATGTCTCAATACATTCAACAAATAGAAGTTTAGCTGCTCAATGAAACAAGAAGACTAATAGGAATGGAAGGTAGTATAATGCAAGGGAATTTCACCTCATCCTTATTGACCCAAACAGTATGCACCGCTAGCAAGTTTTTCTGTAGAAAATCTATATTCTTAAGGTGTGTAACAGTCCCATGATCCACTTCTCTTGTGGCAACAACATGTTGGTTTTCATAAGGTATCTCTGCAACATGCTAAATGCCGAAAAAGTAAGTGAAATTTAAAAACATCTAAAGTTCAACAACAAAAAAGCCAGTATAGGCCAAACTGCGTTGGGATATGGGGGTCAAGATGTTACCCTTGTGAAAAAAACATGTTTTTGCTAGACCCTTGATGCATTGCTGTAATGTAGTGATTGTGTTCATTATTTACCTCATTAATTAAATCTAAAACATTGTCAAATATGACTCTTTTAACTACATTGAAGATGGCCGTGAAAGAGTTTTATCGTATCAGTTTGGTGTGACTTTGATGCACACGACACATTTATACTCTATCTTATTCGAGTGATTGCTACGAATATTCGGCCGCCTGTTTTTTCTCCAGCTTCTTTTTAAAGATAAATGTGGTGAGTTCTGAAAAAAAATTGAGTACATGCCTCAAGTACTTTTAGGGCAGTGCATCTCACGCGACTCAACTTCCTTTCCTTTGTCTTTTGTCTACCATCCAGCCAGTAATATAAAGTCCACAAAAGGAGAGAGAGAGAGAGAGAGAGAGAGAGAGAGTGAGAGAGAGAGAGAGAGAACTTTATAATCCTATTGTTCCTACCATTTACTAACTTGGCCAATCCAAAAGGACCTTGATCATTTTCTTATCCTCATTTATAATACTCTCCCTTCCCTTGACAAATTTCTCCCCCTCAATCCAAACACAATGTAAAAACATCCTTCGACACCAGAACTGTTAACAAATATAACAATGGAAAAGAGATGCTGAACGTATAACTGGGTTAAATGATGTGTGTGGGTGGGTGGGTGCAATATTCCCTACAAAGGGACTAGTAAGTAGTAACTCTTTAAGCACCAGAGTAGATGATAGAGAGATAGCTTACCATATGGATTCCAGTTTCTAGTTCTTTTGCCGTGTCCCTAGTTTTTAATAATAAATCATCAGTTGCATTCATAATTTGCCTTATTCCAAACCATACTTTAATGCATCCACCTGCTGTGTTGTGGTGCTTCTTGTACAGGTCCTTCTGTGACTGAACATATAAACTGCGGGGTAAATATTACGAAGTATGCTACAAGTAAATACACACAAGAGTAAATTACATAAATAATCCTTTTTAATTGAGGGTTTTCCACATTTAGTCCACCACACAAATTATTACTTTGTGTGGCCTTACGTAAGTTAAATACTCTGTTGCATGCTGTTAAGTTAAATATATATAGAATTACAATAAATGTCCTATCTAAGTAGAGTTTACTCCA